ACAAGTTTTTCAGGGTGATAATTAGTAATCAGAGAAACATAGTAATACCTCCATCAGTCGAGGACTAAACACCAATTTTCTCATTTCTGGATCTAAACTTTGCTCGGCGAAGCGTATGATTGAACTGCAGAAGTGCCACAAGTAAAATGAATGAGGTATTGGGGAAATTGGGGAACAGTAAAAAAACAAATCAGAAAAGAAGAAGAAAAAAAGGGATAAAAAGAACAGTAATAAACAACTCTTTTGTTGACCTACTGATATTGTATAGTCAGATCGTTTCCATGTTCTCGTAATGTTTAACTTTGACTTCATCGGAAAACCAAGAAAAATAGTGAATTCAGATAATCTTCCAAGTGCCACTAAGCAGATTTTAAGATAATTCGAGTAATATGTAATGAAATTTTAAATATGCATCAGTACGTCGACATTTAGGATGCAGTAAACTGAGTAATTGACTCTTTGTAAGTTAAGGTTTAAAATTTCCATACTTGGAAAGCATGCGGGTGATACGAAAAAAATCCTTTAATTGCTTAAACTGATTTCAAAAGATCTAACCAGATAGATTAACTTCATCAACAAAAATACAAAATATAAGTGAAACTTACCCACAAAGTATGCCAACCGGGTGTTTATCCGCCTCCATTATATCAGTATAGTAACTTCCTATCTGCTTTGGCACCTGACAATTGTTGTTGCCAATTCAGAAAAATACTAAGCATACACAATCAGTTGCACTTAGACCAGAAATGAATGTTAACGCACTCATGCTTCAACAAATCTCTTATAATTTGAAACAGATTTCACATATTTTATCGACCACGTGCGAATTTTATGTGATCCCAGGGCAATGGAGGGGTCTTTGAAGTGTGATCCTACTTGGGGGCAGAAGCGCCGATTTGTGGGGATCTAAGAATCTAAACTTATTAATTGAATTTCTAAATTACAAAATAACATGCATCAAAATTAATGAACGACGACGAAAATTTGTCAAAACCAAGTGAAAATTGAAGATCGTAACAAGAGGAGAAACAACAGAATGCCAAACTATAAAGTCGATATAATCAAGGGTAGAAGAAAGAAGAGGATACTTGATTTATAAACAGCAAAACCTAGAGAGAAAGAAAATGATAGAATTAAAGAATAATATACGGGGCAGGCTAGGCAGCAAATAAAAATCATTGGGAAATAAAAACCAAGGAATGTTATCTGTAACTTTTTATCAGATAAAAATAAGTAGCAGTCAAATTTCATTGAAAAACACCAACCAAACTCTTTCATATAAAGTGAATTTTAAAGACAGTGAAAGAGGGATAACAAGAGGACAAGAAGCTCTCAGAGGAACATGTGTGTCACTTTCTACAAAACACAACAACGGCTCAAGAAATTCACAATATCTTGGTTAGTTTCATTTTCAGCCTCTAATAATTCCACCAAGATCTCATTAAGGTCGAACTACCCCAGACTTTCCGACCAACCAACTCAAATCTGCCCTTCATACTTTTTCTCCATGGTGTAAGGCTCCTGAATGACACTGTTCTTTTTTTTTTCGAAATGACAATTATATTAAAAACTAGAAAACTCAAAAGAGTACACCGGGCGTGTCAACTGACACGAAGGAACCAGAAAACCTAGACCTACCCCTTGGAACAATGCAAGTATCCAAGGGTACACCATCCATCAAGGATACTAAAACAACGCTAAAACACAACTCCATAAAGGAGATAAAATTCCACGAAGGAAACTAAATGCCAGACACAGTTGGACATGCCAAAAACAATGACCATGATTCTCCTAATGCTTATTACGTGGCACACCACTCTGGACAGATTACTTTGTAACAAAAGAAACGTGAATGAAATCAAATAAATAAAACTCAAGAAAGCATTGCAGATAATGACTTTCACAATATAGGATTTGCGAAGATAAAAATAAACACAAAAATAATGCATACTAATAAGTACAGGCTGTTGTGAGGGACTATGAACACAGAATACACCAAACTCAGTACTGACCCCAGAAAAAATGAAGTCTTTTCATGGTAACCTTGTGACATTCACAACAAGGAATAATAAAGTGAAAATAGCAAGCAGAAATTCACAGAAACAGAACACAGTAGCACAATGACAGTAAATAGATACATATTTTTTACCAGAGGAGTTTCACCCTGCCCTTCATCAGCCAAAACATGCCCAGTTATGAGTAAGAGAGAATAAAGTTCTTCCAAAGTTTCAGTTGGATCTCTTATGCTTCTACCCTACAGTAGCATAATTTAAGAAAGAGATTGTTGATAAAATAAATCATTGCCCAATTATACAGAGAAAAAATAAGATAGCAAATTACAGCACAATAGTAGTATCCTCAAGCGAATTACTACTGGTCTTGCATTTGCTATCCCTATCATGCTATTACTAGAAGCTTCTTGAGAAACCTTCGGATTAATCCACAATTTCAGGATATGAATTTGAATATGAAACTATCTGACGGAGACTAGATTATCACAACATTACGCCATTCAATCTGATGGTTAGGAAAATAAAATTAGCAGACCGAATCAATTGCAAATTCCATAAAAATTGTGGGTATGGAAAGAAGATAGAGAAAAATACTATAAGTATTAGGTCAAAGAAAGTATCAAACTTCAGCACAACTGCACAGATAAAAAACGAATAACATATGTATAGTTGTTAGGTAAAGTATAATCACGAACAATTCTTGATTAGATAAATACTTTTTGCTTATTATTACTTCTATTGTATGCTCATGTTTACCTAACTACAGTAGTTGTGCATTGTTGTTCTAGAAAATAAATCCATTTGGGAGAAAAGAAAAAAATAAAACGCAAAAACAGAAAACAATATACCCAGGATCAGGAAATAAATCGGTTGTTCAGAAAACAACTCTTACTGCTTCCAGGATGCAATATTTGCCAACATCAGCTATAGCAAGTAATGAATTACTTCAACTTTCGTCAAAATGGAGAAAATCCTCATTAAGTACGCTAATTCTAAGATTTCTAAGAACTTCTTAATGAATACAATGCAGAAATATGAATTATAAAAATTTAGAAGAAATACAAATAAACAGTGGTAACAGTTGCAGCATGAGAAATTTAAACATCTCCATACGGCAGATAATTGGGTAAATATAAAGCACGTAGGTACCTGATTAACCCTTATCACAAGTTCTGAGAAGCGTTCTGTGAGAAGAGGGATTGCGTGCCCAACAGCTGCTCGAGCAATAAGAGCATAAGAGCTCAATCTCTCATCCATAGCTATGAAGAAAACACAATTTGAACATTCGAAATGAAACATCCAGTAACTAAAAATATCTGATAACTGATATTCATTATTGAATTAAACCTTTAATATAAATTCACAGAATCAGCAGTTTACCAGACACTGAAGCCTGAAGGGCATCACACTCGTCCTCATCACTAAAAGCAGATGCTGAAGAAGCTATTCAGAGAACTGTACACTGTCAGCACAATAATAGAGGAAACCAGTATATCTGAACAAATTTGGAGTCAGAGCACAGCAATACCCTTTAATTCAGAGTCTACTATCTGCCTAAAGAGATTGCCTGCAGCACTAATGGCTTCAGGTGGAAGTAAATTATCAGGTCCATTACCATCCAATTGCTGCATTTGACACGAAAGCACATAAAAGGTTTCGATTCAACAAACAACCTTTTAAGAACTGCTTCAACAAAACAATAATGATATTACACATCCCATGCCTCAATAAAAGAACTCCCTGGACAACCTTAGGTAACAATTCAGAAAAATATCATAAGCCAGCTAGCAGCTTAAATATTATTAGATCATGCGGACGACATCTAAAGTTTGAATTACTATCAGTTTTTCATCACCTTCACCAGCCAAAGTAACCATACATCCTTTGCATTAACTGTCACCAAGAAGCATTAGCAACAAAAGACAACCAATAAACAGTCTTTAAACTCGGAACTTTAAAATGTTACTCAAGAAACCAAAAGCTCGGAACTTTAAAATGTTACTCAAGAAACCAAAAGCTCATCCAAACCGTTCCTTGATATCAGTAGATGGGCTTTCATTTGTCAGAGTAGGCCTTCAAGCAGAGGGCATTTAAGAGACCAGTTTCCCTCATAAAAAATTTGCATCAGAGCAGGCATCAAAGGATACTATCACCATGTAATTTTGTGTCTAGACTCAGCCTCTAAAAGACACGGAACATACTCAAAATTTAATGCTCCTTTTACATGGTCCATAAAATTGTTGGGCCTCATTTGGTTATCAGCAACTAAATAACAGCAATAATATATAGCCGTTCCACATCCTTCACAACCTTAGAGAGAAAACTTTTAAATATTACATATACATGCCCAGGGGCCTTGTCAGATTTTTCATAAAATATAAGGAAGCATAGATGATGATGTTGCACTAAGGCCTAAGCCCTATCCTTAAAGTGATAAGTGATAGTTAAGCATGTCTAATTACAGCGCACAAGAGGGACATAAATATTGGCAGCATATACCACTAACAGGGATGTCCAAGTATCTAGTAAAATATCACGTGCCACCCAGCTCCATGTCTCTTCTTCTGTGCGATTCTCCATAAGGTCTTTACAAACTTCGCACATCAGGGCAGACAAAAGAGTAAGCAAACCATACGGCCTGGGCATAAGATCGAAAACATTTCAGTTAGAACAAAAATGTAAAATAAAAAGAAAAAAGAGAAGCATCAGAAAAATAACAATCCATCTGCCTACAACTGTTAATCGTATTTCATATTTCAGGTGTCCAACGTAGCAATCTTAATGTACAAAATCATGAGGATTAGGTACCATTATTTAATTTGTGATCCAAATTAAAGTTAGTTACCATAATCTAGTGCAGTAGTAATAATTGAAGAATGGCATTAGCTACTTCGTTGCCATCTGTCAAAACATGGAGGGTTGCAAATATTTAATTATTAAGGAATCTAATTATAAGAAAAGCAATGATCATTTAATGACTAAGTGTCATGAAGTATTTCGAGGAATTAGAAACGAATTTAATAATGTCCCACTTCAAATGAACATGTGTTGAGGCCCGAAACTGATTTGGTAGTTGATACAATATGCAAAGGGCTGAACATGAAGGCTATATGTATGGAAAAGAAAGAAGGTGGAATATTTATTGCAAAAAGAAGTAGAAAGGATAAAATTAACTTAATGAATGGAAAAGCAAAAAAGGTGGCATACATGAAAGCAGATGAGGCATAAAGTGGGAAACAGTATAACATAGCCTCTTTTTTTGTATATAATATAATATAAGCCAATGCCAAGGGGCTTTCATTCAATAATGGATTAAAAAAAATAACTGAGAAATAAAATTACTAATGAAACAGTTAGGTTATGCAGCAACAAGTATATGACTCACCTCAGATTCTTCAATAGCTCATCAAACACGAATGGGGTAGTCACCGTGGCAACAGACATAAGTGCGCGACAGCCATCCAGCATTTCACTGATAATAATAAACAAGTAGTACGTCAACTAATATAATATTCAACAAGAAAAACAAAGACATTAGAATCCATACCTTTCGCTTTTTCCTGCTTTTATTGCTTTTGCAACAGCATCAGGAGGTTCCAACCACTGAACAATTACGGCTAGCAGTTGCAGCAGGTACTGTCTTTGCATTTGCCCGCCGTCTACATTGCAAAGCAACCAGTGATAAAACACACTAGGCATAAGTAATTGCTCTTGGACCATAGAGTAGAAGATGATAAAAAGGCATTGAGAAAAGGCAAAGAATGAAAAAACAAAGAGGGAGGGAGAAAAAAAAAATGATGTAGGACAAGGAAAAATCTAAATTGATATTTCCTCATGCTAAGCCCATTCATATCAATTCTCTGCAGAACCAAACATGTGATACTAATAGGCCACAACTTAAGCTTGGAAACAGATATGCATCCCACCAACATATTAGGATAACTTCCTAGGTAGAATAGAAACCATAATACTGGTGACAGGAGGAAACAGCTCTCATTGCCACCCAGAAAGTTAGCGCAGGGTCTTGTGGAACAGAAAATGGCCAGAAAAATGAAATAGCACGTAAAGGTCGATAATACTTCTACTTAAAGGACACATGCAGAAAGCTGAAACATTCAAGATATAATTTGGTTTTCCTTTGCAAAATTGGAGGACTTGAGTAATCTAATCAACATACATCCAAAGTATACATCTTCACCAAGAAAATAGAACCAAACAACTTCTGGAAACAAGCATTGGCTGTAGAAATCTTTTCCTCCTCGAGATACTTGTGATAAAAGAATTGTTGTTATCACTTGAGTAGAAATGTTTCAGTATAATTCGAACAAATCAAAATCCCATCTTACAAACTTTTCGACACATTCACATCTAATGTCCATAACGGAAAGCAGCCTCCATACGACGATAGTCTACAGATGCAATAGCTTGATGGAAACAAGTCAAATAAGAAGCAATAGCATACAGATGCAAGCTGCCAATTTTAAAGGATGATCTTTTGAGTGGAAAGTACAAAATATTAACCATTCTGAAAGAGGTACAAGAAAGAAGTATACCAGATGGAAAGACGGGTCCTGCTAAGGAGCAAAACTGTACAATAAGTTTCCGAGCAGAAACTGCAAGAGGGCAGTCAAGCCAGTAACCTTCAAAGGAAAACTTTTGCCTAAGTGCAGTGTAAAAGTTTAAAAGCCATCCAACATGACCACTGGAAACCAACACATCGCGCCATGCAGGACCAGGCTACAACATCACATATGAAGGAATAAGCACAAAGCCCCTAGTCATAGATGTGCCATACACCGAAAAGGGAGGAAGCAAATAATTTATTGGAAATGTTCAATGTTTTAAACTTGAATGCGAGATGTCATGCAATAAAGTAACATTTTGAAGACAACAACAACAGTTATTAGCTAAACGCCTATTCTAAATTAATCAAATAAAAAGTGAATGAACAAATGCTAACCATAAACTGCCTTTCAATTTTATAGACTAACTCATGCACAACAGCGGCTGCCATACAGATTAATCAATCTGGTTTAATGAGCTACCTCTACTCACCCGGAGGCAGGTAGAACCCAACTTGGTCCACCTCCAGGAGATTATAGGTTAATGCTTAAAATGTTACACCTACTTAACCGCTTAAATGAATCACTGTAATTGTAAAACATTTTTGTTTTAACATAAGGATCTCATCAATTGGGTGATTTTTTTCAGAAGAATAACATGATTAACATACCATAACATAAGGATCTCATCAACTGGCTGATCTTTTTTAGACGAAGAAAATTATAAATACCATACGTGAAAATTTGCTTCCTAAAACAATAAAAACAAATGTAGATATTTGGTTAAGAGAAAACTATCAGTTCAGCCTCGAGACACAAACAATCTTCCAAATGCAGGTATAGATATCGTATTCATAAATGCTTTTACATAAATTCAGAAATCAGACAAGTATGTTAACTACTTTTCACCTCAAGCTTATCATTATTGCACCCAGGAACGCTTGGCAATCAATGTCAATCACAACTGAACAAAACACCGAAAATACCTTAGCCAACTTGAGGTCAACTACACATTTTCCACATCTCATACATATGATAGATCTTGTTAGCTAATACTAACCTGCACCAAGACACACTCAGACCTTCTAAGAGAGTTATTTTCCTGCTTCATTCCATCAGAAAATACATCAATCCCTCGTTTTGAATTGTCAACAGCATTCTTCACTCGGAAGTCCCAGTTCAGGATTTGAAGCATCAAACGCAATGCTGCTGAACAGACCTTAACTTCTGGAATTTCGGAATCAGCTCCAACAATTCTGTCTGACGCATTAAAAGCAGCATATTGCACCCAACGATAGAACGCCTGCGGAAGCATTTGATGAGTGAAAGAAGGAAAACACAATCATGGCCAAAAACAAAAACGGTAAAAGGTTTTAACATAGGCAATACCATGTTGCAATACAATACGACAAGCAAATTAACACAAAATAGTGGGAAAGAAACAATTCCAGAATGTGAGAAACCTTCATATAGTCATGCTCTAGGGATATTCGGCACTGCTCGTGGAATTCTCTAGGAAGACCCATTGCAGTGGATGTAGATGGAGAAAATTCAGATACCTGTTGGAAAATATCGAATAAAGAATGAATGAGAAAGTCAATTCTTTAAAATCTAAGGACAGACAAAGGTCAAGCTTTTCTAGTACTCATAGATGAGAAACTACCAGAGATTCCAGAAAATTGATGCCGATAAATTGCATGTCCAGCCCACGGTTCCCAATAGCAGCTTCTTTCACCTGGAGCATGAATCAATAAGGCTTTTCATGTAAGAAAGACTGAATAGCAAAATAACTAAATATGTTAAGCACTTGCTGAAATTGGGAATAGTATATTCGATAACAAGTCACATCATCCCCATATGCATCATTCAAGTGCATTAGTATGTACTCTTTGTTTTGGAGTGTATGGCTTGTTGTTATGAGTTCGAAGTGTATGGCTTGGTCAAACTATATACCCCTTACTCAAGAAGTTGACGCTACAAACTTGGATAAGGGCTCAACAGGTAGAGGGGTAAATTACAAAATCTATTCTAACAAATACAGTAGCTTTATGCCTGAAGCAATGTGTATGCCAAACTTTATGTCCATGAGTTCTGGCATGTTGTCCATCTATGCTCTTCAGAAAAATTATGATAATAAAACACTGCTTATGTTCACCCTCTCGACAACCAACCAGAGAGTTAAAAATATATCAGCAGTAAAGGCCAATACACCTACAGAGGTTTTCTAACAAGAAAAACACACAAATCTGGATAATTAGATCCAATAAAGCAAAGAATATTTAGTTCTTTGATTTACACAATGGCAGGAAACAATGTAAGATTATAGCCATCATTACCTCAACAAAAAATGCCTCCTTCTCTGCAGCAGTAAAATCTAGCCTACACGAAAACATTAAAGGAAAGCAGTTAACAGATCTTCTCACTGCATTAAGTTAAATGAGTTTCTACTGATTATTTCATAGCATGCATTAAGTTAGATGAGTTGTTTGAGCAATCAATAGGTTCCTGAATATACATAGTCACAATCCATTCCACTGAATGCAAAATCTCAGCTAAATAAACTCAACAATCAAGATCCCTCCTATATATAATTTCCTAACATGCTGAGCCTAAGTGGTTGGCTCACACACTTCGGGATCTTATGTGGTAATTTACTTTCAAATTAAAAATAACTAGTCCTGGAATAACCATAAATATGATCCTTTTTGAGACTTAGGAGGTTTTAATATCATTTCCTATTCTAGAAGTGGTTTTAAAGCATAAATTTTTTCCCCAATCTCTCTCTTTTCTTCAGTCTTTCTTTTAAAATTATTAAAAAAAATACTAAATTATAAATATACTTTAAAAGTTAATAATTTTTGTATTTATTATAAATTAGTTATATATAATATATCAAATTAATCATCTCTTAATGAGCGTCGATTTGACATCTATATGGTAAATATAAAATAAATAAATAATAATAATAATTACCTTTATAATAGAATTAAATTATCTATTAATATTATTTGGAAAAAAAATAGTTATTAATTTCACTACGAAGTAGTTATATGATATAAGTTTAAAAAATATTATAATATAAGATAGATTAGTCGTATAAGAGGTTGGTGCTATTTTAAATATAAATAATAATATAGTTTTTCACAAAAGTATTTAATTCAAAACAATTTCTTTTCATTATTTTCTAATTTTAAGTAAAATATTTACAAACACCCAAGTAATACACGGGTATTGTTCTTGTAAAACAAGAACGCGCAAAGAGGATAAGCAACAAGAAAGATCATAAGGCGAGAAAACGAATTCAAAAAAAAAAAAGGCAAGGAATTTTATTCATATTAATGTATATATGGTATAGATACGTTAAAGTATATATCGTATAGATCAGTGTATCAATTGGTGATTATTGTAATCCCCTAGATTACGTTCATTGATTTATTTCCATTCTTTAGTTTGCACCTAGACTAGTATAGATATCATTGTACTTGTACTCTTGAGTGTGAAGAAGATAATCAGTTCATTCCTATTTCAGATTTTCAATGGTATCAGAGCCAGCAAATTCTTGAACCTTTCTTTTTTGCTTCCCTTTGGATACCACTCTGCTCTTTAGTGGTGCCCTGTGTCGGTGAGATTTGGGTCACACCTTCTGTCCATATCAACCTGTAGGCCGGCCAAAGAGCGGCCTTCCATTCAAATCCCATCTGCAAGTGTGTCCCACATTCCACTAATTTTGCGGCAAGGCAACCAGTCCCACGCGCCGGTGTGTGTGAGCGCGAGTGGTCGGAATTTTCACCGGTTGATGTCCACTTGCTCGAAATGTATAGGAATGTTGATTTTTGGCGTATTTTTCTATCTCGAGAAGATTTGTTCACTACGTGGGGATATTTCAGTTTTGGGCTCCAGAAACTGGTACAACAAACTCTACTTGCCTGTGGCTCTCCTTTTGCAAGTAATTTCTTATTGTCAACTTTGGCCATTTTTGGTTTTTGGAAATTTTGTTTCGTTGTTAAGCATTGCTCGTTCAAATTTTTTATGTTATTTTTTTTTAGTTTTCTGGGAGCATTTGTGACATTTTTCCCCTCTAAACTTGGTGTTTTGGTTAATTTGTGGTTACTTGTCTATGCTTTATAATTTTGCATTAGTAATGGCTGCAAGTGTAAAAGATGTTTGTTCATCCACTACTGATGATATAGTAACCATCTCGATTTAAGAATATGCACGACTTACT